AGAAAAAAGAAAGTTTGGTGATTTTTGTACCCAGTAACCACCCCCTCACCCGCCGCCTCCATAACAGACCTAGCTGAAAGAGTGCCTCCTCTGTGAAGCGTTTCACAATGCCCCCTGGTCACCTCAACCAGAAAACATGCAGCTCCAAATATTGGGGCTCCCACCAGCCTGGGGGCCCCTGCGGCTCGGGGCCTGACTCATCTGTGTCCCCAGCTTCTGCCAGCGCAGGGCCTGGCCCTCAGGAGGCCGCACAGGATGTGCGGAAAAGACCTGAACTAACCCCCCGCTCGGGCCATATTCCCACCCCAACACGCCAGTGCCTACCCTCTGCCTTGGCTGCCCAAGAGACCCAGCTGTCTCCTCCCTGCCCTGCTGAGCCGAGCCCACTGGGGAGACAGATTTACACATAAAGTCCAAGCGGGGCTGAGGGGCTTTGGAGGCTCAAACCCACTGTGGGAGCTGGGTATGGGGAGTGCGGTCCAGCCTGGGGGATCAGGGGAGCCTTCTGGGGGAGAGACCAATGAGCTGAGTGTAAGCTTCATTCCTGGAGGCTTCCCGGGGACCTCCACCCAATCCTTTCCCATCTGTGAGCCTTTTTGCCCATCCGGAAAATAATCCCCTCCTCCTGCCTTCCATGGTTTGTTTTCAGAGACCAGGGAGGTGGGGGGAGCACAGCACTTAGCACCGAGCCCCACACGGTGCCAAGTGATGCCACCTTCATGTGAAGCGCGGGCAGTGGACTTCCAGAGGCACAGCCAAAGCTCGCACACTAGTCCCTGTGTCTCCGACACCCAATGCACCAGTGGGTTCTGGGGTTGGGGATGCTACTTACCCCCCAACTTTGTAGTTGCCGACCCCGCCCACCCAGGCCCGGATGAAGGCTGGGTCGGCCAGAAGGGAGACCGGGGTCATGGAGTCTCCAGGGAAGTAAGAACCCACAGGGCAGAGAATGACGAATAGGAGCGCTCTCGTGGGACGGGAGACACCCAGCGAAGGCTGCGATGGGCAGAGGGGCCACGTCAGGAGTCCAGGCCCCCAGTCCCTTCCCCTCCCCTGACTCAGGCCTCCAGGACCCCACCCCTGCCAGGCAGAATCCAAGCCCCGTAGCCCAGTTCCCCAGCCCCCAAGTCGGGCCTACCTCGTTCCCGATAAGCACAGGCCGCACATAGAGGCTGGTGCCGGCAGCATCGGGGACCCAGTCCTTATCCACTTCGATGAGCCGCCGGATGCACTCCAGCAACTCCAGCTTGTCGAAACCCTGGGTGGGATTCCGGATGAGTCAAGGGGCCCTGGCTGCCCCGGCCCCGGCCCTCCTCCCCACCCCAGCGGCCCAGGGCCCCTCACCGGCAGGCACAGGCGCAGGGCTGACCGCAGCATCCGGTCCATGTTGAGCCAGGGGCGGAAGAGGCGTACCCGCTGGTCCTTGCCTTTGAATGCCTTCATGCCCTCAAACAGCTGCGGGGACAGGCGGGCAGGAGGCTTAGAGACCTCCCCAGACAGTCAGGAGAGACAGCAAGAGACACCCAGAGAGAGACGGATACACAGAGACACAGATACCAAGAGATGGAGGCCGAGACGAGAGCACTGGGGAAATTTAACGGGGGGGGGGGGGGGGGGGGGGGTGTCACAGATGGAGAAAAAGAGAGACAGATATAGACAGAGAGACAAACAGGTAGAGACACACAGAGACTCAAGAAAGCAAAGGACACGACCCGGCGCAGTGGCTCATGCCTATAATCCCAGCACTTCAGGAGGCCAAGGCAGGCGGATCACATGAGGTCGGGAGTTCAAGACCAGCCTGAGACAAACATGGTGAAAACTCCGTCTCTACTAAACATACAAAAATTAGCCAGGTGTGGTGGTGCGTGCCTGTAATCCCAGCAACTCAGGAGGCTGAGGCAGGAGAATCACTTGAACCTGGGAGGCAGAGGTTGCAGTGAGCTGAGATGGCGCCACTGTACTCCAGTATGGCAACAGAGCGAGACTCAGTCTCAAAAAAAGAAAAGAAAGCAAAGGACAGAAACCAGAGACGGCGGAACAGGGACACCCAGAGAGAACACCCAGCTTGAACCCTTTCCAGGTCACTGTGAACATTTTTCAGGGATGATAATTATATGGAAGCTATTTTTTTTTTTTTTTTTTTAGACGGAGTCTCGGTCTGTCACCCAGGCTCAAACTCCCAGGCTCAAG